GCTCACTGTGGTCTCCCACTCCAGCAACACCCTTCCCTTTGACATGCCATTTGAGAGCTTCCATCTCCGCCGCCATTCTCCAGATGACGGTATCTTGGTCCCTTAACTTGTACTCCAGACGTCTAGCATGCGATTCTCTTCGCCGCCGGTGTTCATCTAGGCTCCACGAGTGACCAAAACTTCTAGCGCGCTTATCTCATGCATCTCTTGAATGTCCTCCTGGTGAAGTCTCCAAGTCTGCCATGTTTGGAACGGCGGGGAGTCCGTTTCTCCGTCTAGCTGACTCCGGGGTAACACCGTCAATGGCGGACAACGATATTTCGTCGTTGTTCTCCATGGAAGGCGATCAGATGAGCTTAGAAGACAAGGTTTTGTCCGTCAATCTTCCCATAAACGGCGTCAATTGTACGGGAAGGAGATATTCGTCGCTGTCCATACTCCTTTCGTCCAAGCTCCGTGTCTATCCAATCAACCTGCGAACGCAACGGCAGTGAGCTACCCGACGGTGTGTTACCGGAAAACCCCTCTGACGATCAAGTTAGCACACACCCAGAGAGAGAGAGAGAGACTGAATGGATGTTAGGCTTTTCTTACCAAATGATGTTCCATCCCCAGCATAGGGGCGCAGCCACGCTTATATACTTTCTACGCTCAACTCTGCACCCACTAGTCTCTTGACGCGTGGAGCTGCTCTCTCATCTGTCAGCACAAATCCAGCGAACACCACCTAACCAAACCGTCAGACAACATTAGCGGGAACTCGGCAGCCCGGTGGCATCACCTCGGCCTCACACGACCAGGCTGCGTAACGAGTCTGAGTGCTCCACTCGCCGAGCTCCATAGCAACTGAGCTCAGTAGCATTCCGGTAGAGCCGAGTTCAAGACAGGTCGAGCCGATGAATGGAAGGCCTTCCCGCTGAGCTAAACGCGCGAACCATGAAACCAAGGTCGACAGATAATCACCTCGGCCAAGTTAGCTTGGCCCAAACTTGGGAGCTGGGACTTGACCGAGCAAACCAACTCCGGACTAGCCCACGTTAGCTCGGCCCAAACATGCTTGGACCTCTCTCTACCTGGCTTCTACCATGGCCCAAAGCCTGGTTATAAATCTCTCTCTCATCACTTTTTATAATTATGAACCAAAATCATATTTGTTCATAACTACAATCAAATTGATCATAACTTAGTCAAAACCACATCTCATAACCAACATCATTTTGTTCATAACCAATATCACATATTTCATAACCATAATCACATATCTCCAAACCACAACCCTTTATCTCATAATCACGTCACTTTGATTATAACTACTATCACATATCTCATAATCATCAATCACATATCTGATAACCATTATCCACATAGATCATAACCACATCTCATAACCTACCTCTTTGAGTCGTAACCAATATCACATATCTCATAACCACTAGTCACAGGTCTCACAAGCAGCACCCTTTTGCTCATAACCACACCACTTTGATCATAACCAATATCACACATCTCATAACAACTAACACATATATCATAACCAAACACCTTTTGACTCATAACCGCACCACTTTGCTCATAATCAAAATCACATATCTTATAATTACTAATCACATATCTCATAACCATTACCCACATATCTCATAACCAACACCCTTTGGTTCATAACCAAAATCACATTTGTCATAACCACTAATCACATATCTCAAAACCACACAGCTACGATCATAACCAACATAACATATCTCATCACCACTAATCACATATCTCATAACCAAACACCATTTAACTTATAATTACACCACTTTGCTCAAAACCAAAATCACATATCTCATAATCACTAATCATATATCTCATAACCTTTATCCACAAATGTCATAACCACATCTCATAACCAGCACCCTTTGCCTCATAACCAACATTATATGTATATATATATATATATCGTAACCACTAATCACATATCTTATAACTAGCGCACTTTGACTCACAACCATCATTTTGATCATAACTAACACCACATATCTCATAACCACTACCCATATATCTCATAACCACACTACTTTGTTCATAATCACTAATCACATATCTCATAATCAATACCATTTGACTCATAACTATACCACTTTGATTATAACTAACATTACACATTTCATAACCACTAATCACATATCTCATAACCACTACCCACATATAGCAGTGTAAATTTGGCCAGCGGCACACTCGAAACCCGCTTACGCCCTGGGTGGGCCCAGCTAGGCCCAAGCTTAAGCCCAACCCAAGACCCTAGGCCTTGTGTTCTGGAGCCCGGCTTGGCTTGAGTGTGTTATGGAGTGCAACCCATCCTGTGAGCCTAAATTTTTTTTTCTTACTTGGCCCGACCAGGCCCAACGTCTCCCTACCCCCTGTAAGTACAATGGTCAAAAATTTAAAAAAAAAAAAATGAAACGGTCATATGACTGTTAATTCCACCAATAACCAATTTTTTATTTCTTATTTTATAAATTAACCCCTTCCTTCCCCAAGTCATATAAATACCACCCCTCTCTCATTTTATTTCTCACAAACAAATCTCTCTCTTTCAAACTCTCATTCTCTTTCAACTCTCAACTTTCTTAATTAATTTTAAAGTTTCATCCCTAAGTGACAATTGCAATTGATCACATATCTCTATTTTAGATTTATTTTTAGTCATAATATCTTTATTGAATATAATAGAAATAGTAATAGACAAACAATATAGTTTTTAAAATATCTACAAACACACACACACACACATACACACACATATAATTTAATTAAATTTTAATAAAAAAATATGTTGAAAAAATTATTTACGATGTGATTTTATTTTGTTCTACTAAATCATTTTCCCCCTAAATTTTTTTCCCAACATTTCTTCTTTTCTTTCTCTGCTCTATTTTCTTTCCCTTGATTTGTCTTAGTTGTACCTGAGCTCTCTCTATTTCTTACTCAGACTTCTCTATTTCACTCAGATTATTGAACGACCATCGTTGATAGTTCTTCCTCACTGGATTCTTCATCTCTCCACTTATCTGTCTCTGCAATAGATATTTGAACTCGTCATTGCTCTGTCCATCTATTTCAACACTATTGATGGTAATATTTCTCTATCTACTAAATTCATCTATCTCGAAACTCTAGCTCTTTTACATTAATATGTCATACATACACAAACCATTGGCCCTAGTTATGATTTGAAAGATTTTGTTATTATCAATTTGTACACACACATGTGCGTTATAAAACTGTTGAAAAAATGAATATTACGCATCTTTTTTTTGTACTATTCCACTATCTCAGTCCTCTTTATCCCTCAAGCATCGCTCTCATTCTTTACTGTCATTGTAGATATCTCCGACGTTCCTTATCGAAAACGACACCACCATTGACGCCTTTTTCACAGGTGGTAATGGTAAGCCTACTCAGTCTCTCTTTCTTTTATTCCCTTTCCTCTTGCTCTACCGATTAATCTTCTCTAACTCTTATTTTTTGTTCCATGGCTTTAAGTCGTTGATTAAATTATTTAATGATTATCATTACATTTTGTTTTCTCTGTATCATGAGAGATCCTGATTGGTGATTTTAGGATTTTCAGTGATTTGTTAGTCATTTTATGATAATTGTTATGAAACTTTGTTGCTTGATTACGATATTTGTAGTTTATAAAAAAAATTGAATATTTTTGTTACGTCAATTAGTTGTGTTGTTACGCATTTTGTGATTGACGTTATGAAACTTTATGGGTTGATTATGACATTTGTGATTTGTAAATTTTTTTGATTATTTTACTACGCCAATTAGTAGTGCAGTTACACATTTTGTAGTTGATTTTACTAAATTTTGTGAGCTGGTTATGACATTTGTGATTTTTTTTTAAAATTAGATGTTTTTGTTATGCCAATTAGTGGATAGTTATGCAATTTTTTATTGATGTTACGAAATTTTATGACTTGGTTACAATATTTGTGATTTTATATAATTTTGAACAATTTTGTTATGCCAATTAGTGATGGCGTTATGTGTTTTGTGTTTTATGTTATAAACTTTGTGACTTGATTACGATGTTTGTGGTTTCTAAAATTTTAAATATTTTTATTACGCCAATTAGTGGTGTGGTTATAAATTTTACAGTTGATAAGTAAAATATATATTTTTTTTTATCAATTTTACTTAATAAAAATAGATGAATGATTTATATTAAAAAAAAAAATTGAGTGCAAATTAACAAAAAATTATAAATTAATAATTTATTTTATTATATGACTTTATTCATAAATACATATATTTTTTTAATAATTGTTATTACATACAGTCTCCCCAATACTTTTTCTTCCAAAAAATTGGAACAAGACATCTCTCAATTTCCTTGACAAAAATCAACAATTCCTCTTAATATTTCCTACCATGCACCGAGATCCTCGCCGCCCATATACCCGGCGGCCATCCACCGGCAAGCCCCCAAAACGACGCTCGTTTGGGGCTTTTTTCTTTTTTTATACTTTCTTTTTTCTTTCTTTACTCATCTCTTCTCGTATCTTCCTTCTTTCCATCTTTTCCCGACGACGCTGCCATACACACGGGGAGGGAGGAGGAGCTGCGCTCGCAGCCCGTCCGCTCGCCGGCGGCCGTCGCACGCCGTCCTCCCGTCCGCTTGTGCGCTTCGGCGCCGGCGGTCGGCAGCCCTCGCTGTCGGCAGCAGCTCATCGCGTCGCTCGCTCGCCTCCTCCTCCTCCCCACTGGTTATGGCCCCTCCAGTCCGGCCCTTACTTCTCTCCTCCTCCTACCTCCTCCTTTCTCCTCCCTCTTCCTCTCCTTCCTCCCTCTCTTCCTCTGCGTTTTTTTTTTTTTGAAAATTTGCCCCCAAAACGACGTCGTTTTGGGGGCTGCCGGAAACGGCCGCCGGGTAGGGCGGCCGAGAATCCGGACTCAATTTTTCTTTGCCAAATCCCTAGGCCCTTTCAGAAGTTGCTCTGTCTCTCTCTCTCTCTCTCTCTCTCTCTCTCTCTCTCGGTCGTCGCCGCTGCCCATTGCCACTGCCGAGACCTGTTTTGCTTTCGCCGTCGCATCCTCCGTTGTGGAGAAAAGCTCCGAAAGCTGTTGACGAAGATCCCTACAAGATCTCGCCGGAGGTCCTCCGCGCCAAGCACCGAAGAGTGAGTTTCCGCCCTTTTCTTTTCCTCCTCGTTCTAGTAACTAGAGCTACATGTCTGTTGCTTGAATCACAGTCATGACAGCGTAATTGGAAAACCACCAAAAAAGAAAAGGAAAAAATTAGAGTAATACTCTGTTTGGATGCAGTGATTGGTGAAAAAAATTAAAAGAAAAAGACAAGTTTTTATCATTTTTGTTTATAAATTAAGTGATTAATGGTAACAAATAATGTGAAAGAGTAAAAAAAAAAAAGGAATTATATACCCTTAAAATACAAGACTATTGAGTATAAAAATTGAGTTTAGCCATACTATCATATGATTTTTATTGGGGTAGGTTTCTCTCAAGTTTAAGTCTGAAGTTGAGAGAACTTGAGAGTCCATGGGATCCACCACAAGATCCGGTAATCCAAACAATTCATTTTGTAGTCCTTCCATATATATCATCCATAAAAAAATTAGTTTGATCCCATAATCATAATTTTCATGCAATTAAGTATGAATATAAGCCAAGTAAGTAACTTGACTTAAAATTATAGCGTAACACTAATATGCTTGAAATTAATTTTTTAAGTAAATGAGCCTGGATAAGCTTATTATTTATTTATTTTGCAATATTAACATGCTATTATAAATTATTATTAAAGAGTCAAATGATTCACTTGACCAAAATGGTCCATCTGAAATTGAAAATTTCTTATTAATCTTATGATACCCAGTTATAAGTCTAAGACAAACTAAATATTGTTAGATAAATTAATTCAAGAAAATATGATTTTTTTACTACAACAAGCAAATATGCTTCTCAAATATTTTTCTCAAAAAAAAAAAAAGAAAAGAAAAGAAAAAAGAAAAAAAAAAAGAAGCAGCAAATATGCATATGGATAATAATCTATCAAATAGGCGCAAAGTTATTATTCAAGTAAGATTAATTTGTCACTTTTACGTTTCATGTTAAGACAAAATAATTGGAATTATTATAATATTATAAGTTTATTATCATGGACTTCAATTTTTGTTTGGATTTTGGATTTACATAATAAAAGAATCATAAAAACAAAAAGACCGTAGGAAAATAAAATGAAGTGAAAGAAAAGAAATGATAATTGTTATAAAAAAAAAGTAATATATTTTTTGTTTAGTTAATTTCATTTTATTTCTCCTAAATTCATTATTCAAACAAAACATAAATGTCATGGTTAAAATCTTATGTAATTGTTTCAAATATATGTCAAAAATATATATAACTTAAAATAGTTGAACTTGGGGCAAAAGAAATTGGCTCAAATATTGTATTATTCAGTTATGTCAACCTAAAGTTAACCATATCAGGATAAAAAATATCCTACTTTAAAATTACAAAAATCTCCTTTAACTTTAAAATTAACAATTTGAGGATATTATTCCCAAAGAGTTAGTTTAGTTAACAGGAGTATAGATTGGAGAATATATGTAGGAGCTCTAGCAAATTGCATTGTTGGGTTGAAAGTTGTAAGGGTGACTGGAGAAAGGCACTAGAAAAAGATACTAAAAAAGGCAATTGGAAGCAATGAGAAGGGAGTGTGAAATGATTTATAGTTAGGGCTTGATGTAGGATAAGATGAATTTGATTTGAGAGAGTGACTTAAGAAAATGGGTCAGTATTACTTTCTCTCAATTTTCTTTCATTTCGTTCTCTAATTTGAATTTCAATATGTAATTGTAAATTAAAAGCTTCAGGTTGTCACGTGACAGAATATTGACGTTAAACAATGTGTTTATTTTTAACTCTAAGTGAAATTTTTCGTTGCTTTAATATCAATTAGTCAGGTTGCAACATAATTATTGTTAGGTAATACTTAAAATATAATAGGGCAAATTATGACGGTAGTCCCTGTACTTTGGTCCGTGTGTCATTTTAGTCCCTGTAATTTCAATTAGCACGATTTTGACCTTGAATTTATAATTTTTTCCAAATTTGATCCAATTGGTTACAACTCTTAACATTTTTTTAAATGAAAACTATGCACTTAACTATTATGTGTCATAGGCAAAATTATAAACTTACCAAATTCAGTAAGTTAACCTCAACTAATTTAGTGATAATTTTTCTTAAAATACACTAGCGATATTATCAATTGGACCAAATTGACGCAAAATTTAAAATTAAGGGTTAAAATCGAGTCAATTGAAAGTGTAGAGACCAAAATTATACAATGAGTAAAATATAGGGACCACTAGTATAATTTGCCCAATATAATATTAATGACGACATAATTAAAACATCACTCGAGTGTAGTTCAAAAACAACTTAATTTACATGGTTTTAACCATTTTACCTTTAAATCTTAAAATTGTTACTATTTAATTTAAAAAATAAATTTTCAATTATTTGTTTTAAGGCCGTGCATCGCACGGGTGTAACGCTAGTGTGTATATATATATATATCAGAATCTCTAAGGGAGTCTTTAAACAAGACTTGTTAGCAATTATAATTAGCATCATCATATTTTAGTCACTTTAATGGATTAGCTATTGTAATAGCTTTTTTAACAAAATTCTTCAAGGCTTACTACATTTGAATAGTCTTGAAAAACTCTTTAAAGAGTTTGTGTGTGTCATTAGGTAAAATAAAGAGTAGTTATTAGAGTACATAAATAAAAAAGAAAATAAATAAAATAAAGATTTATCCTTTTTTATATTGTAACTAGTAATAAATGAAAAGTATGGGGTATTGGTTTGGGGAGGGTTAGACAATATGCAATAAAAATTAATGGATGAAATAATTACACATCAAGGGTAGGTACCATTAGGAGAAGCAAATAGCCGCACACATCAGACTGCTCTTTGACCTTGGCAATATCAATGCAGTCCATGAGAAAATCAAGTGTGTGCTTTGCCCAATTGAATTGACTGATGGACTCAACATTCTTAACCATCTCAGCGAATGATTGGTGTACGTTTGCCTTCGTGGTGGGCCATAAGAGGGCTCCTATGATGTATAAGACAAATTTCCTTTTAAATTCGGTTCCAGCATCTTTTGTTTCAATTAGATAAGATTTTAGAGATGTGAACGGAACAAATTTATTCTTCACCGCAAGGTCATCACATAGGTTTGTAATTTCAACCGCGAGCCCTGTTAACTTGACAGCTAGACCATTGAAAGGTAATCCCATCAACTCATGAACATCTTCTACGGTGATAAGCATTCGAAGACTGTGGACATTCAATGAACAAGTTGAAGGATCAAAGTTCTGAACTAACCAATGGCACAAGTCATGATCTATGTGCGTGCACCTAAGGCTTAGGATGCCGTGAAACCCCATATCAGTCATTGCCTATTGTTGTGCTTTGTCCAGCCTTCTAATAATCTTAAAAATCCATGTAAGCTCAATCCGGGTTTGAATTTTTACTTTTGGAGGCTTTTGTTGGACCACAATTTTTAATTGGGCATATATTGTTCAGATTGCAACATTTCCATTTGTATGTACTTATTTTTTTGTTCTTCGGGAAGTTGATTCCATTTGTGTCCAATATCCTACATTGCATGCATAAAATCATATGAACAATTACATACAAGCTTACAAGTACAAGAGGAATACTACAAGCAACAAGAATACGGTACATTTACCTTCATGTGTGCTTTCATTTGGGTTTTTTTCAACTCCATTGATTGGTCTTGGCTATAAATATATGAAAATGAATATAAGATTTCGTATAATGGAAAATATATAATTACATACAAATAGATATTAACGGAATACCAAAAGAAAATGAATGGAGCGATCGGGCGCTTTGGAGGACCAGTCGATTTATCCATCATGCTTCAATCAGAATTCCTTGTGAAGAAAGACAAGAAAAATAAATTTATAATATATTCGATTAGGAAAAAAACAAAAAACAAAAATCTTAATGGTTAAAGTAAATTCATCAAGTGCACCACATGCACATATGAATGGATTTGTTTAATAATAATGTAGTTAACAAATACTGAGACTAAGTTTCCAATGTGTGAAAAAAAAAAAATCTAATAATAAACAAAAAGTGATACCCCAGTTGTTAGGTCGCATTACCCGAATAAACAGACTAAAGAAGTTGATTTTTTTTAGACGAAATTTTTAATTTTGTAACACCCTGCAAATTTACAAATGAATACACCACCACAATTGTAGCAATATACAAAATAGCCATCTTTCCCATTGAACTAAGATTCAAGAAGTTACAACTACAAAGTTTATATTTCCAAAATACCTTGAACTCATCTCCAAGTTCAATGATCTAGACGACATTACAAAAAAGAAAGGCCCCCAAGGGCATACAACATTCCAAAGTGCTAGCCTGGTACAACAATTTAAAGTCTTAATACAAAATTCTAAGTCTTAACAAAAAAAAAAGTTCTTGATCTGCCAAGTCCAAACTGAACCACTACTAAATCCAATTCATTTCTAAAGTTGTATGTCATTATCTCCTATAAAATAAATAGGGGTGAGCTATATGCCCAGTAGGAATACATTTAACCAAGTATTTAATCGTTTGAATAAGCCCACGACACCATTGAGACAAGACAAGATGAGTAATTAAAGTACACTTATAAACATAGTTAATATGTAACTAATGACCCGTTGAATAATCACATTTCCATCTCACATCAAACATCGTCATATTGGAAAAGAAAACACACCATGAGTCCCCCATAAGAGTCCAGATAAACCAAATGCAAGTCACTTTAATTTAAAAACCATCCCCACATTTACCGACTATTATACGGTAGGACGTGGACACTCAAAATCATCCGTTTTTTCACTTTTACCAACTATAATACGGTAGGACCAGTAGACACCCAAAAATATTTTTCCCACATTCGTTCGGCGATAAGCTCAAGACAAGGCAATTGGGCACCTTGGGAGGTACTTAGATTGATTGTATAAGGAACTATTGAATTTATGAATTTGGGAGGTACTCAGATTGATTGTTTCATAAGAGCCTAAAGAACATTACCCAGTGTTGGTCCCAGTAATTGAGGATGTTGGGATGTGTAAAGATAGGAAGAAGACACAAACCTTCATGCTCACACTTGAGCAATGCCCTTATTCTTTCATATAATCGTATCATATTTTTTTCTTTACTTATGATTCATATTTAGTCATGACATTTGTGGTAATCAACGTCACAAATGTTATAATTTGCATATGGTACACATCCCAAAAGGGGTGTGGTAGCATGACCATACATACCACACAAAACCCCATATAAACTCTAGTTTGGAATGAATCAATAAATCAAAGTCCGCAAAAACAGAAGAACAATAATTTTTTAAAGGCATTACTCTGTTTCAAGTATCTTCATGCTCTTGTAGAAAAAGCAATAAACAACGGCAATAATTTCTAAGAAAGACAAAATAGTGCATTCAAAGTTAGAAGAACAGAGACTACTTTTAGTCCAAAAAGCCTTAAAATGTATTTACAAATTGAATAACAAAAAGAATCAATCAAGAATAGGGAAGGGGGAAAAAACATAGTCAACTCTGCAATGCAATGTGTTTAATCAGTAATGTCCTGACTGATAGGCCATTAAAACATTTGTCTAAGGCCTCCAACATTGAAGAGGCCCCAAATATTTATATATTTGAATAGACTATATAATTATTTCATTGACATGTCTTTCTCATTTACTATTAGTTTTTTTCATTTTTCTAGCTAACTGGTTAACAACTACGACTCAGTTAATTGGGATTTCCTATTCTCAATGCTTTCAAATTTTGGCTTTGGATCAAAATTGGTAGACTGGATGAAGGAATGTGTAACTACTGCAAGGTTGTCTGTGCTTGTTAATGGATCTCCAACAGAGGAATTTGGTCCACAAAGGGGCCTAGGACAAGGGGATACCATATCCCCCTTCTTATTTAACATTGTAGCTGAAGGGTTAAGTGCATTACTCTCAAGGACTCATAACCAGGATTTAGTTAAGGGGGTGAAAATTGGATCTAATGATGTTGCACTTACCCACTTACAATTTGCAGATGACTCAATTCTCTTTTGTGAGTCTAATGTGATGGAAGTTACCAATTTAAAGAGGATTTTAAGATGCTTTGAAGTATTGCCTAGGCTGAAAATAAACTACCACAAAAGTGTAGTTTGTGGAGTGGGTGTAGCAGAGGATTCCTTCAATGATTTTGCTTAATTATTGAATTGCAAAGTGAAGAATCTGCCTACAGTGTCTGGGGTTACCTCTAGGGGCTAATCCAAGCAGAAAAGCCACTAGAGACCTGTGTTGGAGAAGTTTAGGAGCAAATTAGCTGGATGGAAAAGAAGGCTGACTTGTTTGATTATTCTGTAGCTTAAACTTGAATGGGTTTTCAAATGATGAGTGCATTATTATGGTACTCATGAAAGATCTTCTGCAGTTTTTTTTTTTTTTTTTTTTTTTGGGGGGGGGGGTTTGTCTAGCACAATCCAACTCTAACCCACATGAATAGGTTATTCTCTCTTAATCAATTCATATACATCATTGTATTTGTTTTCAATTTTCTCAAATTTTCTTTCTTTGTTGTTTTCATTAATTTGGAGGGATTGAATTTGTTTTTGGTTTCACTCTGAGGACTTGATGCTGCAAATGATATCATATACCCCAAGTGTTTGTGTTTTTGCTTCTATATCTGTAATATGGTGTTTGTTGCTTTCATTGTTTTGCTTGAGTTCATATCGTAGAATCGTATCAATTCATTTCTTGTCCTTCTAAGAATTAGTATATGATTTGTTGTTCAAGCTCTTTAGTGATCAAGTTTGTGTCTCGATGGTAATTCTATTGATTTATAGGTCGCAGAAGGACTATTGGCAGTTGAAGTGAGGGTTTGAGTTATTAAATAGTGTGTCGACTTCTTTTGACATGTAATCCATACAGATTCTCAGTTTTAATTTAGGGTTGATCATATATTTATATATGTATGTATGTGTATATAGTATAAGCATATGTTCGTTTGGTGTTGTTTTAATGATATAACGTGTTATATTTGTAAATACAATCCTGCAGCTTTACTTCTCCGGATTTCTTAGCGTATCATTTTTTGCCTTTCTTGATGTCATTAGGGATGGATGCATCTCTTATCTATTATAGAAAAAGTATTTAGAACCACTATTGTTTTCGCGAACCCGAAAGAATTCATATACTGTCCCACAGTGGAGGCCCCATCCTGCATATGTATGTCATGTAATCATATGTCAGTGAATAAGCATTCTCCCTCACATTCTTGTCAGTAGATGAACTTTTTTCTTCTCCTTCTTTTTTCATTTTTAAATTTTAAATTTTTGACAAATAGACTGCCTAATACTATCATAGCAAATGACAGTAGCGAGAGTAGTAATTAAAAGGCTGTGATTGGTGGGCTTTGCCTATAATTCTGTAATTTGGTCAAGTTCTGTTTCTTCATTTACTTTCTTGTTGGTCACTCAATTAATTTCTTAGTTTCCTCTGAGACGTCTTGTTTCACTGTGGGTTGATGCAATTTTGCATAATTTCAATTACATCATTTGTATGAGGCTTCAGCTGAATTATTACGTTTGCCTTTTTATCAGTGAATTAAGGTACGAACTCTTCATCAACTCAATTTGCCACTTTAGGAATGACAGGTTTATGTGAGCCAATCCACCACCAGGTTAGCATGTGGGAGAACACATTAATGGTGATTTTAGCCCGAACACAGGCATGTCTGCAATCGGACAGGTGGATGCAAGTGTAGGCAACAAGGTGATGATTCATGGATTTTTCTCCCGTAGTTTAATGAATTTTGATTGTTTATTCCTATGGCTATATTGCAACTGATTTTCTTGATTTGATTCTCTAGTCTAAATATACTTCTTACGAGTCAATAAGCTCTTTGGAAAACAACCATGAACCAAAGAAAATGTCTGATAAGGTGATTAGAATGCATGGCACGCTCCTTCACCTTTCTCTCTTAGAATCTCTCTCTCCTAAGTTGCAAAAAGTATGGAACAAGGGGGTTTGGGGATAAGGAGAATGAAAGAAGTTAACACATGCTTGTTGATTAAATGGTGGTGGAGATTTGGTGTAGAGAAAGATGCACTATGGAGGAGAATTATTTGCAGCAAATACAAATTGGAGGCGGGTATGCCAAATATAGACTTTACCAGCAATTTCTCCTGAGTGTGGAATGACATTGTGTCCATTGCAAACCAGAGTAATATCCTACTGAGGTTTTACTTAGATAATTGTCAGATAAGAGTTGGGGGCTTAAGACTGTCAATCCTTCTTGTTATGTGATTAGTGTGATTAGGGGTAAACCAGCTCAATCTGATCTGGAGGGAAGGGGACGTTCGATGCTTTAAACTCGAGATTTGGATACAAAGAAATAAATGGATGGCCATAGAATAAAATTCTGGTCTGACAGATGGTGCTGAAAGAAGAGTTTTCTATTCTAAATAGATTGATTGTGGATAAAGTGGTGTCCTTCAACTCAATGTCAGTGATTAAATAAAGTGCAGGTGATTGGGAGTTTCAGTTTAGAAGGCAGCTTATGATTAGGAAAAGTGGAGGTTTTAAGTATCAAAACTTCATTAGCATCAGCTCCTGTTGATAATCTGTTTTGGGCAGCCTCAAGCACAGGTGTTCATCCAAGCAAGTTCTGGCCCACAGCTCTTAACCAGTAAATTGGTATAGGTAAAGTTTATTCCCCCCAGAGTGTAGTTCTTGGGCTGGTTAGTTTGGAAGAGAAGATTGAAGACAACTGAGTTTCTCCAAAAATAATATAGGCAAATAAACAAGCAACAAGGAACAATCTAAATGTCTCAATATACAAATTAAAAACTCAAAAAATTTTGAAAATTCCAAACCAAATATTAATTTTCTTTTACACATTATTTAGTTAAAATTAGTGTTGGTTTTATTTGAAAATTCCAAACTCAAAAACACAAAAAGCTTTTTAAAAAATTACAAAAAACTTAACAAAGAAATTTTGTAGCTTAAAACCAAAATTTTTTTATTGGTTTTTAAAAAAGTAAAAATGTAAAAAATAAAAAAACAAATAAACAGAGACTTGATAAATTCCCAGAAAACAGAGGATGATACAGAAACAAAAGAAACAAAGGATGATTTGGGAATGTGATCAATGACATTGCATTATAGATGGAGTCAAAGATAGAGCCAATAATTGGATTAAAAATTTTGATTTTTTTCAAAGGAAAAAGCTAAGAAAATAAAACTTAATATCACATATTCATTCTTCACAGTAAAAGCTTTGGAATCAAAGCTCTAGTGGCAAAGCTATTGGCTACAGATGTTAATTTTGACTGAGAACCAAACTTAATATCAGATATTCAGTAAGGGTTAGGGTTTTGAAATCAAAAACCCTAATGTAAATGAAGTTTAGAGTTAGAAACAAACTTGAGCTACAAAAAAGATCTCTCGGAAAGATTCGATTAGAATGGAAGCGACTAGTTCTTGATGTTGAGAGAGTGAGAGATTGTGATGATGTCAACACTAAGAGAACGGTGGCCTCGACGCCGACGGGGCTGGTGGTCTTCGGCAATGGCTGAAGCTTCGACTATGGCGGAAGAGAAAAGGGGGAAGAAGAGGAGCAAGAGAGGGAGGCCAACTGACTTGTGACCCCTCAACTAGAGATATAAATTTGGCCCGGCCGGGCCCAACCAGGCCCGGGTTCGGGTTGGCTGGGCTGGCCCACAAGTTGGAAAATTAGGCCTAGGCCCAGGGGGTATTCGGGTCTAGGCTTGGCGAAGCTTGAACATTTTTTTTTTTAGTTTTTTTTCTATTTTTTTCACCAAAATTTTATTCATTTCTACTAAAAATGACACTGGGACTTGGGTGGGCCAGGCCTCAAGCCGGGTTTTGAGTGGGCCTTGAGCGGGCCACGAGCCAAGCCGGGCTTCAAATTGACGACCCAGGCCCAGGTTCAGAGTCCCGGGCCTAATCGGGCCAAGCCCACCCCGAGCTGCTGGCCATTTTTACACCCCTCGACTGATTTCCTTTGTCGTCCTTTGGTAACCGATTACATCCGTTGTCGATTGAAAATTAAATTATTGAAATAATTTAGTTATGAAGTGGTTATGACATAATATGATATGTATGAATAACTAAATATAACTAGGTTATGAGCTAATATAGTAATGGTTATGATCTATATGATATTGGTTATAACATAAAAACACATAACCTCATAACTAGATGTATGGTACATCCAAATGTACCATAGCATCACCCATGAGTCCGATTTAAAGTATTTACTTGATGAACCCTAAAAGGAAAAGTTGTGGTGCGCAATGAATAAGAACGACTTTATTATGAGATACTCTGTGATGGAGAAAATTATTGATAAACTAATATATGAAATTTGAAGCTTGAGAAGCTCAAAAATGTTTATGAGGTAAAAATTATTAACAATTTCAAGGAGTTTTTGCCTCTGCCCTAGCGATGCTAAATCCATATTTATTTGTCAAGGGGGATGGGCTAAGCCCTAAGGAAGTAACCCAACCTCTGTGATTGGTAACCGTATGAAGGAGGTTCAATGGGTAGAAACAATTCTTATGGTGTGATTTAATTCCAGCACTTTATTTTGTAGGAGACACCACAAGAGTTGTTATCCTACCCATCTCTAAGGCAATAGTGCTGATGAGTGACTGGTTAGGAAGAGTTTTTACCCTAAATGAATCCAAGGAAGACAATCTTTCGCAAGGTGCATTTCGTCACTGTAGCCTTGGAGGTTTCTACTAAGTGGGAACCGTCGTAGTCGTGACTGTGGCACTTGAGCTAGTCTCTAAAATTCCTACGAAAATCAAGATCAGAGTGTGTGGCCATTAAATGCACTAACCCACGAACTATTGTCCAATACCTGTGTGTGTGACATGTTGACCTTCAGTCCAAAGAGTCTAGTTTATGACTTAGTTCACTATGATTCTTCGGAGGGAAATTGTTAACACTAAGTGAGGTTCAAATCCGGAAGACACCTACCCCAATTACATAGTATATGTTGCCCATTTATATATTTTTTATTTTATATTGTTTTGATTATAGTTTTAAAATGTGGGGGTATATTATAAATTTTGTGAAAATATTTAAAGAATTTATTTTTATTAAAAGTGGGGACCTGTTGGGATATTTTAACAAAAATAAATAATATTTAATATATTCATTATATTAGTCAATGAGTTTTAATACAAATTCAATTACAAGTTTTATTACATAATAATTTTTTGTATAAATATAATTTATTATACGGTTTAATATATAACTATTTCAATACTGATTGTGGTTAATTGTGTTGATTACATAGGTTCCTATATAAATTCATCAACCTATTGTTTGAAATGTTTTAAGAAAGTTCTCTATACTTTATATATTGTTTATGTTTTGGGCAACTCTGGTTCGTGGTATGGTTCAAGCTACTAGATGAGAGACGTTGTGAGCACCATGGGTTATATCTTGGAATTGCTTCATTCTGGTTGTACCTTTGCGAGGGAAGGAAGTAGTTTTAGGACAGTGACAACGCGACTCCCAAAGTCTCACAGCTATATTTTCCTACTCTTATTTATTTATTTTTTTTGTATATAATATTTATTATTTATTTATTGTCATTGTTTATGTAATATTTGTGCTAATTATTTGATTTATTATTTTTCTGGACTAACAGGGATTTGATTTGGTTTTTTTTTTTTGTCATGTTGATGTCAATTTGGGTCAGCAAGAGCTTAAGAATGAGGGGTTGGCCGGTTGTGATGGTTGCATCCTCTATTTTTATTGTTGGTAAAAAAATGTAACGAAAGGTGAGATAAGAGAGGAGGAGAACTGGAGGAGAGAGATAGATTATAAGAGGAGGGGTGCTCATTTATTTTTGTTTATTTGTAAAGCCTTGTGCTCTTTTTGTATTGGGTTGAGATTCTCTTTTGTTGTAAATAGTGCAATGTCCCTTATACATGTAAGTCTTTAAGACACTTTATTTGAATAATCGAGCAATGTTAAATATGATGTTTTTGCATGTTTCAACTTCATGCCACGTAGTGATTGAATAGGAAATGTATGAGATTCATAGATTCTCATGAAGTGAATGAAATGCATTGTCGAAGAGTGGTTTGTTCTATTTTATGGATTCAATCAATAATTTGCTCCATATATGTTTTTATTTAAATCTTAAATTTTTTCTCTAAAAAAATAATTATAATTTTCCTAAATTAAATAAAGAATCGATTTGTTTTATTATTCGGATCATCGGAGTGTTACAACTTGGTATCAGAGCTCACTGGATATGAATACCTTGGGCTTGCGGGACATGATTTTTACCACAATGGGTTTAATGCATGAGTGAGGAACGATTGCATGCTATGTGCTATTTGATAACATGATTATGTGGCTATTTGGATATAGGATTAAATTTCTAAGGTATTATTTAAACCTAGGAAATTCTTAGAAGTCTTATTGGAAGAAGCACATCATCAACGCCAATTCCAATAGGAACTCTTGGAATGTTCTTGAGGCGAATAATAATCCTTGAAGAGTAATCCGTTATGTGCTGTGTGGCTATGTGCTTATGTGATGTGAATTGTGATGCATATGTCAAGTTGTGATGTGAATGACCCAATTGGGAGAATGACCCAATTGGGAGATATTTGTGACTTAGATTCTTTATGCCACCTTACTTGGCAAGTTAATCATTTCCACTGTAAGAAATCAACCGTATAATTGGCATTGAACTGTAGGTCGACCGACTATGTATGTTTATGAGTGTAACTGTGACATTAGAATGGTGGAGATTACGCTACATAGCAAATAGTTTGTTGTTATGAAGAGTTAATTATTTCTGATCTTTAAATCAAATTTGTGGAAGTGGGCTAGATGAAGAGTCTTGGAAGTAGAATAAGTTAAACATTAAACTTCTTGTAGTAGTGTGACTTGGTTGAGACCTTGATGATGATCAAAGTGACCTAAGAGATTATTTTGGAGTGTTGACGTCGGAACATGTAAAACTAGTTCCAAGTTTCCTTGGGATAGACAAAATTAGTTATGGTTGGGTTGTTCCACTTGTTTGATTGACTACTTGTGAGGTTAGTGTTAGGCCTCAGGCTGATTATCCTGGTATGTATTCGGAAATAGGTGTGGTCTTATTATGGTGGGAATTGTGAAGTGTATTAAGGAAAGTGTTGCTTATTGAATTTGTTTAGTTTGGAATCTTGTAACAAATTATAAGTGAACGAACTAGATAAAGAATTTTGGAACAGATTGGGATAAGATTAAATTTGATTGGATTGTGCCATTTGGTTGAATTTCTAGTAGTGAAAATGGTGACTTGTGAGTTGACATTTTGGGATATGTAGTCGAGTTTCGCATGCTTTCGAATTTGTGGAATCAAGTGTCTCAGAATTTGTTGTTGATATACTCAAGTGCAATATATTAGTGTTTAGGGATATGATGTGATTGATGCCTCAAGAGTTGTGTTAGCAAACCAATGTCCTTAGATAAAATTTTTGAAATGATCTTGTGAGAATATTGTGATTCTATAGAGATTATGACTACGTATTTTGAGTTGGTGTGGTTGTGATTTGGATATTTTTGTGAAAATTTATATGCTTGATAAGGGTAATTAGTATTAACATTTATAGTTATCCATAGCTATAAGTTAGAAATTTTGAAGACTAGAGGTAATACATGAGTATTTTGGATTGAAATAAGCCCTGTTTAGGAATAGGCTATTTTAGTTGGCTATTTGACATTTTATGAAAAGACATGCAAAAAAGTAGGGAGTGATGTGATGGGATGTTTTTTTTAATTAGCTATTTTAATCTGGGATGGGCTATTTTAACCCATCCCAAACAATGTGTTTAAGTGGAGATTATTTTTGTATCCCTTGTTATTAGCTATAAGATTGTCTTGTATCATTGGTATAAGTATTGTGAATCCCTTATATTGATCTTTCGTTTAGCTATAGGTGTGGTGTGGTGAGAATTTGTGGTGTTGATATGTTGGTCCAGTATTATCATTGGATTTAATTTGGGTGCATTTGATCTTAGGTGGTTAGTGGTGGTCCTAATTAAGAGGTATTTAGTTTTGTTTGATGGAAGGTGATTCTTTATTTTAATTTTTATTCCATCGTGTTTTGTGATGATATTGTCTTAGAAGTAGTTATTTGGCGGATCTCTCGTTGGGGGGTAAGTTGGTATGAGACACTTTTATCATTTTGTTAGTCTTGAAACAAAAAAGAAAAAAAAATGTTTCGAAATATCCGTTGTTGACATAAGATTTCTTAGAATGAATGGATGGCATTATAGCTCGCGGTCGTATTTTTTTTTTTTTTTAATTTGTTTATTTATTTATTTATTTATTTATTTTTTGAGTTTGGGTAAAGATGACTTGACTATAGATATTAGGTGGGATTTTGAAGTGATTACAAGAACATGATTATTCATTGGCATACCCTTCTGTCTTATTTCGTTGGCTTTTCGTGATTGGTTTGAATGGCAATTGGCACCTTTGTCTTGTGACACGAGTAGTTGTAAGAATTAGGTTATGTTTTCCTTGCATTTTAGTTAGTTGGAGTAGATTAGTTTCTAAGTTGTTCAATACTCTTACAGCTGTTTCCTTGTGATTGTTCCAGATACTTCTAAGATGAGAGGTAAAATTTTTAGTTAGTTGGTCTTGGGAGTGATATTAATATTTATCATTGGGTGAGTTCATATTATGGGAGTTGTTGAATTTAAGTTTAATCTTGTGGATCATCATAATATTACTATAGAGTGGAGTCATGGTGCAAATTTGGAGTTAGTGGCATGGCATTGGTTTCAATGAATGAGAGTGGCTTTGAGTTAACTTTTTCATTGGGAGTACCTTAGTACAGTTAGGAAGTGTACCTAGTCGTGACGAGTTCTATGTGAACTTAAAATAGTATTGTGACAGCTTTTGGGTAAATTATATGTTAGAAGAAGATCATTTCGGTGGATAGTGCTATATGAATTTGTAATTTTAGCATTTTGTTGTGTAGCTGATTTTATTTCCTGAATGAAGCATGTATTGGCTTAGGAGTCTTGACTTGATTTAAAAACATTTGTTGAAAGAGAGAGTTATATGGTTCAATTAGTGCATGGTTGGGAGGAGGTAGAACCTTAGGATGGTATGAGATTAATTTGAGTACTTAGAAGATTGTGAAAGTGCTTGGAAGGGGTGTGAGGGTTGTGTTTTGTAATGACAAGGAAGTGGTAAAGTTTGCCGAGAGATGGTAGTCATGTGTGGGTGCAAAGGAGTATGGAATTTAAGTAGTGAGCGTCATGATCGAGAGTTGTGTGGAGTTTATGAATGTGAAGGGAACTTAGTGGTTGGGTACGAAAACTGTTTCTTGGGAGGAAATATGGACTGTGTTTTGATTGATGGGTGGTTGGATGGTTGATATTTGGATTGGGTGACAAATAGTCACTTTAGTGGTTTGGCGCTGAGCTGTGAGATTTGGTTTTAGGGAGTCCCAACTTGGACTCAGGTATGAAGTGGGTGTGTGTTGAAACTTGAATAGGGGTGATACATGTTGGTTAGCCTGTCGATGTTTGATTGATGAGTGGATTAAGTCATGTAGAGCAGATGGATCCTTGTGGCCGATCCCTTTTAATGGGAGTCAAGTCTTGGTTTGATTTGGTTTGGTTGCTTGGATTGGTTTGGAATCGGTGGTCTGGATGCGTGGTATTCGAAGTTTATTGACATATAGTCATCTTGGGTATTGATTCGGTTTGAGTAAAAAGTGGTATGGTTGGGTGGTACTTAGGTAGTACTGGAGGGCATTGAGCTTCGCATGTGTGTGTATGTTGTTGATATGAACCTGTGAAATGACTCAAATTGAATCAAAGTGTTTGAATGTAGATTATTGTAATCGCACTTGTGCCAATGTGTACTATCGATTGTTAGTGATTATGTTTGTAGTGATTGGGAACTTCCAACTTACGGGAAGTCATATGTGTTGTGTTATCCCTCGAATGCACTGTTATTATTGTTCTATTCATTGTTATTACATATGTGTGTGGTAAATGGGTTGTAACATCACCGGGTGGGTGATGGAGGTTGTTGGGTGATGGTTGGGATTCACCGAATGAATGTTGAGAATGGTTTGGAAAATGAAAATTTATTTTCCTTGTGTTGTGGCCTAGGATGGCATAGTTAAATTAATGTGGAAGATCTAATCTAAGTGGGAATATATATAAAAATGAAAAGATTTTCAAGAGGAATGGAGAATTTTGTTTACAAAATTGCGACCGTTCATTGTTCTATCTCTTATAATGGGGTTGTATGGAAACTTGGGTTGAATTGCTTGTTGTGTATGTGTATATATATATTGGCATATTTATTTTGAGGAAATATAATGCGATTGCAGTTGTTGTATCAATTTATGTTTCGGGCAGTGAGTATGGGGCGTCTTTTCTTTCGTAAGTGTTGTCCAAGTATTGGTTTATGGTGGTTTCCTTTCCCTTCGACATTGGGATTTGGTCTCTCCGTGGTCGTCTTTGTGTGGTGTTGTCATTAGGGGAGTAGAATGGTTGGTGTTGTTCCTTGTCTCTTGGATTTTGATGAGTATATTGATAAATTATGATCTCTTTCTCGTGCTTCTTCTTGTTTGGGTGTCTTTGGGGCATTGAGGTTTTGAGTCTGAATTCCAGAATTTATATCGAGTGTGAGTCTAGCTTTTGATTGGTAGTTATGTCTTGCCCTCAGAATTGAATAGCTTCTAATTTGACTGATTTTATTTCGGGAATATATCTCACGTGTATTAAGTCAGAGGTTGTGTTTCCATCTGTATTGGTTTGTCCTTTGGTTTCAGTCCTTCCCTAATTTCGGGGATGAAATTTCTTAAGGTAGGGAGGTTGTTGCACTCCAGAATTTCTTTTCTTTTTCTCGTCACTCGAGCAAAGGAATGTTCGCTCGAGCGGTCTCGCGAAGCTTCCAGTATTTTTGCAGGTTTGTTTGAGATTCTGTGAGTTGTCGATGTCCGCTCGAGCGCATGAGTAGTTGCTCGAGCGGTCTGTCTTGTTGAGTCTGAACTTCTAGGAATCCGTATTCTTTGCTCGAGCGAAGGATTGGTCACTTGAGCGAAGTGTCTGAATTCAGTACGTTTAAAAGTCACTTTTTGGTCCACTTTTCTTCATTCTCTCTTGTTCTTTCTCTCTCTTCTGACCCTTTTCCACCATTGTTGTGGGTTTCAAGCTTTCAAGCTTGGTTTTCATCTTTGGTACCTGCTAGTTATATCCAATTGCGAGTAGAGTGCTTTACTTGAGGTTAGGAGATCTTTAAATTTGTACAAGGCATGTCATTTTTCATATGTCCTCAAATTTTCTTACTGTTGATTGTCCAGAATGAAAGCTAGTTTTTTCCTGCTTACATGTATCATTGGTGACTTGTTTTCTTCCTTTATTCATGCAATTCACAGGTAAGGAGAACCCAGATCAGTGAAAGAATGAGGAAACTATAATTCCAAGCATGGACAAGGTAGGAAGGATAACAACATGAACACACTTCATTCTATGGTCATAAAACTCATGATCTTTCTGTTTCTTGTAATTGGCAGCAAACAAACACAAAATACATGTTAGATTTGGTTGTTGAGTACAAAAAAAATAAAAAATAAAAAATAAAAAAACAGTACAAGGTATTGAAGAAGAAACCAAATATTGTCTTCATTGGAACTCTTTTTTTCTTTTTTTTTCATTGGAACTTATCATTGGAACTCTTTTTATCTGTGCTTGATCACTGTTTATTTATTTATATTGTTTTCATACACTCAGCGAAAATCGAGCAAACTGCAAGTGTTCAATTAATATGAATATCTGTGTTTGTCATGGTTTTTGGTCTTGCGTGTATGTTTAAATGCCATTTGGTGCTTTTTATTGATGTATATTAATGGTATCTTAATATGACATTTTGGGAAACTATTTGACGGGTGATGGAGCACAATCTGCTGAAGAGAAGCAAAGACATTTCAAGTTAATGAGAAACCTGAATTTTAATGAAGAATCTGGTTCTGAGCCATACACTGACTGCCTAAAGTTGGGATGGGTGCATGCATCTGAAGGTTTTCTCTCTCCTGACTTCAGGGGAGATTTTAGTGCTCTAAATTAGATAATGCAGTTAATACATGTTCTGCATTAGATTAGCATCACATTTTGGCTGTTGGTGTGAGAAATCTATGTTCTATTCGGATTAGGAATAAGTGTCCTATGTCTATTAGACTTCTATATATTTCAGTAATGTATTCATGTAGGGTTAGGAATTAGTGGTACTCTATATAAATGATGTATGTATTCTTTGTTCAAATTAATTCAATCAAATATACAGGTTGTTTAGAAAACTTACATGGTATCAGAGCTTTGTGATTCCTGATTTCGTGTTGGCTAGGGTTACGCACGAACTGGTTCAACTTGTTCGTGATTCATCTGTTTGATCGCGTTCTCTCTTTCTCGATTATCTGGTACATGATCAAACTCCTTTGGTTCGACCTCTGTTCGTGACTTGGGTGACCCATCTGTTTCGTCTGCAAGGGCTTCTTTTGGATGCCTCGTCTCGCGAGTGAGTCGTCTCAGTTGACCCATCGAACTGCTCATCTCAGTCTCAGTCGTCCTCGCGGCTCATCGTGTCTCCGTCTTGGTCGACTCTTGTGGTCGTCTCTCTGTGGTCGCCTTTCTGTGCTTCGTGACTCCTGGGGTCGTCTCTCTGTGGTCGGCTCTCTAGTAATCTGGTTCGTCTGCCTCTGTGCTTCGTGATCTCTGTCTGAGATCTTCGCGAGCTCCGTCTGAAATCAATCTCAGCTTCAGTCTCTCTCTCTCTCTCTCTGCTTCGCGATCTCTGCTTCAACTTGGGTATCTCCATTTAAAACCCTTATTCCTGTTTGGCCCATTTATTAAGTTATTAGTATACTTTGACCCATTAATCTTTTGTTTATTACAATAATGGACCCTAAAATTCAAGCCATTAAATGTAAACTCAATGGTAGTAATTATGCCTATTGGGCCAGTGTTATGAAGAATTTTCTTCTTGGTCAAAAAAAATGGGGCTATGTTTCTAGTTCTGCTCCTCGTCCATCGGACCCAAAGGTAGAAGGGTATCTGTCTTCTTGTGACACTTGGGATTGTGATAATGCCCAAGTTCTTACCTGGTTTCACAACTCTGTGGATGATCGTATTGGAATGATGTTTTCCAAGTACAGTACTGCCAAGGAAGTGTGGGATTATTTACTCGGTGTTTATCAGCAGTCCAATTTTGCCAAGCGATATGAGTTGGAAACAACTATTCAGGGTGCTCGTCAGCGGGATCAAACTATTCAGGACTTTTATATTGAGATGACAGGTCTCTGGGATCAGTTGGCTCTTATGGAACCACCTAGTCTCAAGATATTAGACGCTTATATTGAGTTTCGGGAACAGGGTCGTTTAGTCCAGTTCTTAACAGCTCTCTCCCCTCAGTATGAGGCTATTCGAGGTGGCATCCTTCACCGATCTCCTCTTCCCTCTGTGGATGCTATTGTTCGTGAACTCCTCTCCGAGGAAACCCGTCTTAAGACGGCCAGTCAGACTTTGCCTCCTTCTGTGTTCTTGGCTCCTGCCAAGCCGCCCTTGTTATCAACCACTCCTTCTCATCAACTTCAGGCCACTACGAAACCCAAGAGAGGACCATTAGGGCTCGATGAGTGTGCTTTCTGCCATCAGAGGGGTCATTGGAAGAACAATTGTCCTAAAAAGGGACGTCAGCCTGCTCCGTCTTCTCAGACACAGTTCCGCGGTACTACTTCGAGTACTTTCCGACCTCCTGCTGCTTACACTGCATCTACTCCGGCTCCCGATCCTGACTTGGCTTCCTTGAGTGCTCAGGTTGCACAACTTCAGCATATCTTGTCCACCTCTCAGTCATCCCCATCTGCCTCCGCTCTTACCTCTCTTCATTCAGGTTTGCTTGGGTCCTCTTCAGGTATCCCTTCTTCTGTTTGGATTTTTGATTCTGGTGCCTCACGTCATATGACTCCTCACCTTTCTTTACTTCAAAATTGTATTCCCCCACCCGTTCCTATTACTATTAATACTGCTAATGGATCTGGTATGTCTGTTTTATCTGTTGGGTCTGTCTTACCCTCTGCCATGTCTGCTGTTACTATTCGTTCTGTTTTTTATGTTCCTCAGTTATCTGTCAGTTTGTTATCTATCAGTCAACTTGATGCGTCTGGTTTTGATGTTATCTTTTCCTCTTCTGTCTGTTTGTGTGCAGGATCGGGTGTCCAAGAAGCAGATTGGGACCGGCCGTAGAATTGGAGATCTCTATGTGGTTGAAAGCTTGCATCTCCCCTTATCCACCTCTCCAGCTGCACTTTCCTCGTATCAATTAGATTCTCAGTCGAGTCAGTTTTACTTATGGCATTCTCGTCTTGGTCATTTGTCTGTTGACCGCTTACGGTCTTTAGCTCAGTCAGATTGTTGGGTAAAGTTTCTCCTAGTCAATTTGATGAATGTCGGGGTGGTAAACTTGCTAAAATGTCAGCTTTACCTTTTAAATAAAAGTACGTCTATTTCTGTTCTCCCTTTCTCTCTTGTGCATACTGATGTCTGGGGACCCTCTCCTGTTCTTACTAAAGGGGATTCAGTATATTATGTGTCTTTTGTAGATGATTGCACCCGTTACACATGGGTTTATCTTATGACTCATAAGTCTGACTTCTACCAAGTATATCGTACTTTCCAGTCTATGGTCACTACAACAGTTTGGAGCTACTTTTAAATTGTTGCGGTCTGACTTGGTGGGGAATACTTTAAAACTGAATTCTGTGAATATTTGGCCAACTTGGGTACCATTCACCAAACTTCTTGTACTGATACACCTGCCCAAAATGGCCGAGCTGAGCGTAAACACCGTCATCTTCTTGAGACAGCTAGATCTCTTCTTCTCTCTGCCTCCGTTCCAGCTCCGTTTTGGGGTGAAGCAGTTCTTACTGCTGCTTTCTTCTCAATCGTATGCCTACCCCCCTTCTTTCGGGTCGGTCTCCTTATGAGGCTCTCTTTTCTCAACCTCCTAATTACCCCTCCTTCGTGTTTTTGGGTCTGCGTGTTTTGTCCTTTTACCCCGTAAAGTAGGACTAAACTTAGTGCCCGATCTGTCCTATGTGTTTTTTTGGGATATAGTCTCACTCAGAAAGGTTATCGCTGTTAGTACCCTGTTTCTCGTCGCCTTTATGTCTCCCGCCATGTTGCCTTTCTCGAACGTCTATCTTACTTTCAGCTTCCTCCTCTCACCGCCCCAGTTTCCAAAGAGGATTTGGTTCATATTGATCCATTTCCTTCTGAGGTCCCATCTGATGAGTACATCTCCACAGTTCCTCCTGAGCTTATTCCATCTTCTCCTTCTGCTTCACCTCTGACTACTTCTCCTCATTCGCCTCCTCCTTCGCCTTCTCCTTCTCTTTCTCTCTCCTCCGTTGTTAGTTTATTCTCGTCGCAAGGCTCCTCCTCTACTAGTTGTCTCTACCCCTGCTGCTGATCCTCCTGCTTCTGACGACTCTGATCCTGCTGCACAATATCCTCCTCGAGCGCGTCATCCTCCAAAAAGGTTGGGTTGGTCTAATACTTGTTTTTCTGCTTCCTATCGTACCTTTTTGTCTGTTATTCACTCTTTTGCAGAAACCTCAGTCTTACAAGGAGCCCTGTCAGGATCCTCATTGGGTTCAAGCTATGGAGGATGAGTTGTTTGCTCTACAGAAAACGAATACTTGGAGTTGGTTCCTTTACCTGTTGGTAAGAATCTAGTTGGTTGCAAATGGGTCTACAAAGCAAGACTCATTCTGATGGTTCTCTTGAGCGCTACAAAGCTCGTCTGGTGGCCAAAGGTTTCTCCCAGGAGTATGGTATTGATTATGAGGAGACATTTGCTCCTGTTGCCAAGATGACTACTGTCCGTACTTTGATTTCTGTCGCTGCTGTTCGTTCTTGGCCCCTTTATCAGATGGATGTTAGAAATGCTTTTCTTAATGGCACTCTCACTGAGGAGGTTTATATCGTCCTCCCCTGGTCTTCACCATTCCTCTGGCCAAGTCTGTCGTCTTCGGCGTGCTCTATATGGTCTGAAGCAGTCTCCTCGTGCTTGGTATGATCGCTTTCAGACTGCTGTTACGAGCTTGGGTTTCATCCTTCTGGCTTCCGACTCTGCTTTATTTCTAAGATATACCTCGGCTGGTTTTGTTGCTCTCTTACTATATGTAGATGATATGATCATCACTGGCTCTGACTCTTCTGCTATCTCTGAGGTCAAGCAGCATCTCTTTCGCACCTTCGAAATGAAGGATCTGGGACCATTGCGGTATTTTCTTGGCATTGAGGTGGCTTCTTCTCCTAAGGGTTACTTTCTGTCCCAGGCTAATTAAGTATGCTAACGAGGTTATCCATCGTGTCAGACTTACTGACACTAAGCTGTCTGATACCCCCATTGAGCTTAATGTAAAGCTCAACACTACTGATGGGGTTCCTCTAGATGATCCTACGTTGTATCGCGAGCTTGTGGGTTGCTTAGTCTATCTGACCGTTACTCGCCCTGATCTTGCCTATGCTGTCCATGTGATTAGTCAGTTTGTTTCTGCCCCTCGCTCTACACATTGGGCTGCTTTGCTTCGGATTCTTCGTTATCTTCGCAGTACTATCTTTCAGGGCTTGCTGTTCTCTTCTACTTCTTCCTTAGACTTGGTGGCTTATGCTGATGCTGATTGGGCTGGTGATGTTAATGATCGTAAATCTACTTCTGGTTTCTGTATGTTTCTTGGCGATTCCCTAATTTCTTGGAAAAGCAAGAAACAGACTGTTGTTGCCCGTTCTACTGCCGAAGCTGAGTATCGTGCTATGGCTCATGCTACTGCTGAAATTGTCTGGCTTCGTCAGCTCTTATCTGAGTTGGGCGTCCCTCAATCTTCCCCAACCTCTCTCTATTGTGACAACCGAAGTGCTATTCAAATTGCTCATAACACTGTCTTCCATGAACGGACAAAACATATTGAGATTGATTGTCACTTCGTCCGTCAGCATCTGCAGTCTGGCTTTATCTCGCTTCCTTTTGTCTCTTCAGCTCTGCAACTTGCTGACTTCTTCACTAAGACTCACACCACTGCTCGGTTTCGGTTTTTTCTTGACAAACTCTCAGTGTTTTCTGCTAAAACACCTTGAGTTTGAGCGGGGGTGTGAGAAATCTATGTTCTATTCGGATTAGGAATAAGTGTCCTATGTCTATTAGACTTCTATATATTTCAGTAATGTATTCATGTAGGGTTAGGAATTAGTGGTACTCTATATAAATGATGTATGTATTCTTTGTTCAAATTAATTCAATCAAATATACAGGTTGTTTAGAAAACTTACAGTTGGCCTATATTTTCAGCTAGACTTGTGCTCATGCTTATAAAATTTTTGGGTTACACTTATAAAATTTTAGAAGAAACTAGTAAGGGACATAATTTTTCAGATTGAATGAAACAATGAAGTGTACGGCTAGTTTTCTAAATAGGTTAACTTCATGATCGTGCGATGACAAAAATTAATGATTTATCATCAACCCGTCAAGCCATATGAGAAGTCACATAAGAAATGAAAAAAATTAGTGAAATATTTAAGTGATACACAAGAGCGCCCTCCATCCATATTTATTTAATTTCATGGAATTTGGAGTTCCCTACCGTCTGAAATTAAGTAATAATTTTAGATGATTAAATTTCTGCAAAGACAAGACAGTTCACATAACACTGAAAAAGCTAGCCTCATATGTCTGAAATTAAGTAATAATTTTAGATGATTAAATTTCTGCAAAGACAAGACAGTTCACATAACACTGAAAAAGCTAGCCTCATATGAATGTGAATTTCAACTTTCAATTACCAAATGAGACCAATAGGGAGGGAAAGAAAAAAAAAAACAAAGCAAAAACAAAAACAAAATTGTGGATGCTATGTTTTTTAGTTATTCCTCAAGAGGATGACTGCACAAATGCCTCAAACATAATTTGTGTTGAGCTTGCATATGACAATGATAACAATATAACTTAATGCTCTTCAACAGCACATTACAACCCAAAGATACAAAGGTTTTGAAGCTAGATTTTCAGAGATCAATTTCAACTCAAAAGACAATTAGACCAAAAATATATATATTGCAAACTTTCAGTGCAACATCTAAAAATGCTTTATCTTGTTCTGTGTGGTGCACATGCACGTGAAAAAAAAATGCAGTTCCAGTTCATGAGCCTCCTGTCACTATAAGGCCTGCCAGCACATTCGTAAACTATTTAAAAGGCTATTTTGCTTATAATACAGTCATAATTTGTAAACTTGTAGATGAATAAAGAAATTTTGTACATTCCAGGTTCAAGGATTTCAAAAGAAATTGGTACGTTCCTGCATAGCACATTAGGATCTTGGTATTGGTGGCAACTTGTATGCACCTATGAGAATAGAGCAACTATTTTTTTGGGAAAACTTGTACAAATGCATAGAGATCTAAATAACTAATCTCAAGGATTTACCAATCAAACTCATGGTTTCTACAATGTTACATGTCGTGGTGCTATAAAATGTGAAAGAAGGTCCACAAAGTCTATGCCAATTGAAACTGAAAAGAGACACAACCTGAGTTGGATAAACACCACATGTCACAACAGTATACAAACTAGAAATTTACTTTTACAATTTACATGGAAAAGAGAAAACCTAAGTCTCAATGGCATTATCTATCTAGTTCAGACTTTGAATGAACTGCTTGAAAAAGAAACTAAAGGTGACATAGTAGAGGGTAAAATTAGTACTGAAACAAAGGTGAAGGATCAAAATTTAAAAAAAAAAATTACACTATTTTGACGGCTCTCAATTAACCATGAAAACCAAAAAAACCTTTCCGAACAATGCAAAGCAAAACCATGAATGACATACAGAGGCAATTGAGCCAAAATGCCTCATACTGGCTGCCAAGACAGCAACTAGTTAAGTTTCTCGATGATGCTGACCTCCAAAACTTTGGATGATTTCTGTGAGTTTCCTTCCTTCATGTTTATAACCTTTTGAAAGTTAATTCTCAAAACCTGGTCACTGATATATGGGGAACGTTAGTAACAAAAATGAGCCACAAAACCAACCAGAAAAGCTTTTACACTATGGACTTACAGACTTTATCAGAGCTATATATAGACATTAGCTTAGCCCACACAAGATAGATAACTCATTTATTTGGGTTTTTTAACCAATCAAGCGTAAGATTTTTAATCTTAACTAATCCAACCAACTCAATTTTTAAGTACTCCTTTTTCTGTAGAAGAAAATTAATCTAATAATTAAATGGTTCATTTCAGTGTACTGAAGATGAAAAATTACCCTGTTTTAAGTATTGTTTTCAATTCCTTATAGTATACATCAGTTCTGGTTTAGAATTTTTTTCTTTGAACAGTGTTTTGGTTTAGAATTTTCATTCCACTACAGTTGCTTAACAAGTGTAACCAAGCATGGGAATAGGAATGGATGTTCCATTTCCACGTCATTCAATGTTAGAAACCGCCCAGCAGAGTGAGAATGAGTATTTCATTCCACGCCATCTTGCATTCCATTCCCACTCTCATCCATCTTCCAATATTGAATCAGTCCTTTTCATCATCCAAAGCTGAATTGCCATTAACACCACTAAGAACAAAGAGAACCGAGCAGATCCTTGTCGAGGGAAAACTTGAAAATCACAGAAGTCCTTCACCTTTTAAAGGGAAGTGTAGGCCTCTGACTTCTTTCATCTTTAAGATAAAATTAGCAACTGTATAGCAAGGAATATTTCAATATCCTTTTACCTGAGTTGCAACTTTCTCTTTAATTAACTCCAAGACATTTTCCCAAGAAGCTAAACCATTATTGAAGATAAGGTTATTTCTGGTTTTCCAAATGGTCCAAAAAACTGTCATGGATGATTATAGCCTCCCATAAGAGCTTTTTGACATTCTTGAATTTTACTCCAAAACACCAATCAAGTAAGGCTCTAACCGATGAAAAACAAACTCATTCCATTCCCCACCAAGACAAACAATCACCCCAAATTTTCCAAGATCTTGTACAGAGTAACTCATTCGCACAAATATTAACAGAGCCTAGAACAGGATTCATCCAGAGAATTCATTTTAATCAAAAGATCAGAAATGGTAATCCTTTTGCACCGGACTAGCCAAGCAAAAACAACAATTCCAAAGGGGGCAATGCTTTTCCACAAACTCTATTGTAGGAATAATACAACATTGGGATGAGGTAAACAGGTTTTGTAAAGATTTTAGTGAGAAGTTACCTGATAGATCCAATCCCAAAATTAATTGATCCATTGATTGGCATTAACCTGATCAACCCGTGGCAGCATTTGCAACAACCTATGATAGTCTTCCTCCTCCTCCCATACCAAGAAAATCTTCCTATATGACATACTCATAATGATGGAATCATTAATGAGACCATCTTTGTTACATCAGACACCCATTTATCAAACACGAAGAGAAATCTCATTCCATTTCCCAATTTCAGTAGCAAATTATTGGGGACATGTTCAAAAATAAAAAATAAAAAAATAAACTGCATTATCCTTTAAGAAATGAAATATCCCATCTCTTGTTGTCCCAATTTATCTTTTCACAAATCACTCTTTTCCAAAGGGGATTTGGCTTAGATGCCTGCACCACCACTTAATCAAGAAAGCTTCATTCTTAATTTTTAGATTAGAACTACCCAGAACCATAAATCTATGTAATGAATCTTTCATCATATGAGATTACGCTCACTGTAATTATAGTCACAGGGTTAGTATTCAATGTTTATTGGCTCGATTTGTTTTGACAGAAAGACTCAAGTTAAACTTATAGTAGGCAGGGCTGAGGAGGCTGTTGGAAGATTATGAAGTATTCTCTAGTTTCCTTTGCCATTTCAGGCACAGAGTTACTAATTTATACAGTAACTTTGTTCATATGATTTGAGTTTAGAAGGTGAAATCTTTTCACCCTTCTCTTTTAGAAAAAAATTCTCTAGGTGGACATCCCCTCAGCAGAACTTGTAAGTCTTAGATACTTCAATCTTTAGTTTGCCCGTCACTTACTCACTCACTCACTCTCTATTGCTGTAAATTGTGAAAATATGCTGACTACAACTGAAGCCAAACAATACGAATCCAATTTCAACACTCAGATTATTTGATGAACAAAGCATCATTTTTTTTGGGTAAGTCAATATATACCAAAGATCAAAAGTAAATACATTGTACAAGGAGCATACATGGACAACACAAACAAGGATGGGAATCATCTAAGCAAGCAAAAGATGAGGACAATACCATTTAGTCAATCTAGGCCACGTTTACATCTGACATGAACATATGTACAACAGATACAACATACAGACCATGAGAAGATAGCAATAGCTGCACAGAAAGGCTTGAAAGCCAAAGCAGCAACAACAGTAGCATCAGCATAAAACCAGTCAATTTATGACTGAGCTTTTATATGTGACACATGCACAAAAGCTAATAGAGTTTGATAAAAGAAGCAGCATGACCAGAACCAAGGAAACAACAACAACAATACAGAATCATCAAACCACTTCATATCTAGATTCATCAAACCTTCTTTCCGTCTTCAACAAGATGCAACATTTCTTTAAATCAGATGCAACATTTACTTCACCGGACGCAGCAGAAAATGATTGAAAGAGTTGATGCCATCCTTCGGAAGCTCTTTTGATTTCCCAAGGATAGCAGTAGTTGGGGCAAAGCAGATAAATGAATGTATCGAACCTGTAAATGAAAACGATAACAACAATGACAAAGAAACTTCTTCTTTCTTTTTTTTTTGTGATAAATACAATGACAAACAAATATTTGACAAGCATCTACTGAAACTTAAACCACATGAAACCTAAATAACGTTTAGTTGGCGTAGATGACATTTACAGCTTGAACAATTTTTACTAAAATCTGAAAACACCACAGGGAAAAAAATAATAATAATAAAAAATAAAATAAAAGAGTGGTTTAGCAACAAACTTATGGTGAATTATGATAGCACTAAAATAAATACTCTATCACTCTTTGACGGGAAGGAAAAGCATTTCATCATAAAACTACTATTTGCATAAGCTTCTAGTAATGCAGAAATGAGAGCAAGACTAACCATATGCCAAAAGAAGTTATTATATGCCACTAAAAGATATAGAGATACACAATGCCTAAACATGGTGATATCAAATATGAACAATGGAGTCGGTGTAAGCAACTAAGCATATAGCCATATCCGTAACCTATGGTAAAATTTGTAGTTTCTTCGATGGTCATGAGAAGATACAATCGCTAACCAAACCAAATCTCTATCAAATGAAATACAAGGCAAAACTTCAAGTAAAACCATGTTACATGCTTTGGTGTGTTCAATTTTTCAAAAAAAGCTTAAAATTTTCATCATTTGTTTAGCCATAAAGATGAGTCTTCAATTACATAGTACATATGTTAAGTTAAACAGAATTAATAACCAGCTTAAATTTATTGAAATTTCGATAAATAAATGTGAACAATGGCCAAAATCATTGCATCACATTGATATATACCTGCTATTTGAAATGAAGGATATACACACTATTTGGTGTGTTCAACACGATGAAACAATATTTGTGCTATCCATACTTCGATTCTTTTTTTCATTTGAAAATAATGGTTTTAGTTGTACATGCATAACCACAAGTATGCCCAATATAGTGGCATGTGTGTGATGCAAGCAGAAGGTGCTGCACTTCACATATTCCAATGTTGATTTAAGAGTATAGTTTGAAGCAGAATCCATTTCAAAAGCTGCACAAACAAAAGAGAACATGCTCGTCTCCTTTTAGACTTCAATGAACAAAATGAAAGTCACAAACCATTATTTGATGAGTCTACCAAATAAATGAGGTCAGGAATTTAAAAACTTGACAAACCCCACTCATGTTTTACTTCATCAGTTCAAAATCATCGGTAGAGAAACAATTTTACAAAAATAAAAGAAATAAAGAATATTTGAGATATAGAGTCAGTTTTGATAATGCTTACATTGAGCTTTGGAAGAGAGGAAAGAAAGAAATAGAACTTCAAAATTAAAGAACCCTTAAACCACACTGTCATCCATAGACATCACCACGTAAGCAGAAAAATTGCTGAAAATTGAAAAGTAATTGGGTTAGTGACTGCCACAAACGGAGATCAAACAACATATGTAGACAAAGCAAAAAGACATCAATGATTCATGGTGAAAATACATATATTCTAGGTAAGTAATCGATGCTCCGACCCAAAAATTAAAAAACAAAAAGAAATATATGGTTGATTATTGTGATTGGGCATGTGATCCTAATTATGTCTGGGCTGTTAAAGTGAGAAAACAAATTACCATTTTGCAATAGGATTTTTATTTTTATTTTTTTATCAAAAAACAAAAAGAGTTTATGAATAATAATGTGAATCATTACAATCAATAAATAAAAATGGAGAAGGTATAACAAAGAATAGAAAGAAAAAAAAAATAGGCAGCATACAAAACCACCTTAAATTCCGAACATAGACCCAAAATCCCTCTATGAAGAAGAATACAGTGGTTGGTTGGCAAGAGACCAACAGTGAGAACACTTGAAATGGAATTCTCTTTTTTTTCAATAATATATATATATATATATTTAAGAAATTAATTTGGCCTTTTCATCTTCAACCTTCGTCAAGTTAGAGCATCTCCAACCTTTCACCACTTTTTTCACCTACTTTGACTCCAAATTTGAATAAAAAGTTTGATTTGATATGAAATACTTCAATCCTTACATCAAAATCTTTTAAAAAATTCCTCTCTTATCCCAATTTTTTGTTTTTATCAAATTTGATGGGAAAAAGAAAAAAAAAAATCATCTCAAATGCTTCATCTTTTTTTAATTTTTTTCAACTTCAACCCTTCAAATTCAATGTTTTTTTTTTTTTTGTTTGTTTGTGATTTTTTACATTTAAAAGGGAAAACTGTTATGATAAATCATAAAAATAAAATTAAGAAACATAGCCCAACCTCCCCATATATATATTATAAGTACTACACAGGCTCTATTGCGATGAGATGAGGAGATTGCGACACTGTTAGCATTGATAAAAATAATAAAATAATAATTTTGATATATTTAGTTTGGGTGATTTTTGAGGAGTGAGTACCTGGTAGTTTTGATTGCTCATATTGCAGTTTATTCCTCTACCTCTCTACTTCAAAGATGTATCTGTTGTCTATGAAGATTGCAGGAAAGGGAGTGATGGAGAGATTTGAAACATACTGCTCCAACGAAACACTTCACTGCTCTAGCGGTAAATACAATGTCCTAGATGTTTTGCAAGTCTATAGTGAAAATACTGGGAGCCTCACATCTACAGTGGAGTGAAGACTTGACTGCTCGAGCGGTCTCGCCTATAAACAGGCAAGAAAGATACTTGGAGCCTCATATCACCGCTCGAGTGACCACTCAATTGCTCGAGCGGTCTCCCATAACAGAACGTTACAATCTGCCCCCCTTAAGGAAATTTCGTCCCGAAATTTGGCGATTCCTGTCAACAACAAAACCCAACAACCCAATGACGTTCAACACCATACTAACAATAACCACAGCCATCAATAATGGAGGTCCGATAAATAATTTTTTAAGTAACCATAGCTGCATAGGTACTACAATAGATGATCTCTATCCCTATACAACATGTCAATACTGATACTTTCAAGAGAATAACCTTTCTCAAACTGCGGGTAGCGGGTTGGGTTGGGGTGGGTTGGGGAGGTGGATTGGCAGGTAAATTGCACACCCTTAATCCCAGGTTTATTCTTCTATCCTTCTTCATTTTTCTTCTTCCTACATCACTACTCACTTTGCATTGAGAATGAATTCAAGTATTACTAACTTATTAAGATTTAGCATGTCATCCTTCAAAGGATGAAGATTGGGACTTAGGAAACTGAGGTTTTTGAACAAAGCATTTTAGAAAATGGCTAGGGAGATATGCTAAGGAAGGTAAGGGTAGTGTGGAATAAGGAATACTGTGAGGGCTAATAAAATTTGTACAAGTCTTTTGGGGTGAAATTATGGAAGAACTAAATGAATGGCTGAGAAGAATTCTCCAAACATATATACTTTTCGATAGGAAATTTGCAAAGATGAGATTTCATGATGACTACTGTATGGTAGTAAGCTCCACACACTAATAGTTCCAAATCTCTTCAAAATCACATCATATAAGGAAGCCATGGTACTAGGCAATGTTAGTGGAGTAGATGGTACAGTGGTTTGGCCCAGTTGTATAGCGCCTTGCAAGAATGAGACGTTGACATGGTGGAACATCGCCATGCTTTATCCCACTGTAGTAGATACCAAGGGGGCAGACGGCTTACTTTGTGGCAGGAAGTCACAAAGCGTAAAAATTTTAAGGTTCGATTCTATTCTAGTAATATTCCTAGCCAATAATCGGCCAAGGCCTTCCTAAAATGTCCCTTTCTCTTTTTCCCTTGATAGATATCAACATTGGAAAGAATTATGATCTTGATAATTTGGTGAAATGGGAAAGTGTTCAAAGGAAATCCAGAAAAAGTTATGAAACTATTGGCCAAAGCCTAAACGCTTCTTTTGTTTTCATTATTTAGGATATACCTTACTAGAGCTGACAACTCAGAGTGGTCGTCAAGTGAGGATAAGAGTTAAACATTGATGGATGGTGGGCTCCTATTAGTGGTGTGCCCTAAAAGCCCCTTGTCATTTAATTAATAAAGGGAAAAGTTTTATTTTATCATACTATCTTTATTGTGCTGTTGTTTACATTGTAAGTCCATACAATTAAAGTTCAGAATTTATGTCTTAAGAGTTAAAATTGAGAGACATGTACTTCTCAGTCTTTTATTCTTAGAAGTTCCTAGTTATACGATTACTATTTGAATGTTAGTAATCCAAACCAAATGGACTAGCACATGTTATGCTTGTTCAATTGGAAGAGGGAGTAGTCTCAAGTCACTTGTGTGGGACAATCAAACAACCATGTGTGTGTTTGTCGAGAACAAGTGACCACCCAGGAACATATCTAGTTCACTTATACGTTATAGTTGTGTGTGCAATCCTTAGACTGAGAACATCATGATTATCTTGTGTGCGCATTGCTAAGTTTTGACAATATAATATGTTTATATTCTAACAACGAAATATGAACCTGTATAGATAGGGCTTAGTGAGACACCCATGGAGGCACGTGAATGTTTAAGAATTAATCCATCACTCTCAAGTAAAAAGATAGAATATATGTGATCTTTTAGGATATAACTCGAGAAATACCTTGGTCAAGGCAAAGTAATAATTAGAAAGGAGTTTCTAAATTCCCCAATACAAGTTGATATGCATTAGATTAGACACATGATTGAATTAGGGGTTTGACAAACCTCAATGTCCTAATGACCTTTTGAGACATTATACGATGAAAGGATTGAATGTATGGTAACTGTTAGCAGGGCTCATTTTGTATATTCATAATATCTGGTGTGTTCATAATGTGTTGCTTGGTGTCACTCAAGATTTGTGGAAGCCCAAGGAAATGTTCCATGGGACATTTAAAATTCATAATAAATATCAAGAATTTATATTATTTCTACTACACAAATTAGTGTGAACCTAAAATTTCACACACAATAAGGACAACATGTAATATAATGGAATGAAAAGAGTTAATCCAAATTAAGTGTTAAACAGGAATTTAAATTAATTAAGAGTTTCGAAAAGTGGTTGCGGTCACCATAACGGTTGCAAAGTGTAAAGGCTATACAGTAATGGTTGCGGTAACCGAAACCGTGAATTTTTTAATTTTTCGCACAATTTGAAAAAAAACTTACCGATACGCTTTTTTTTTTGAAATAAAATTTATTAGGGTTTAAAATAGGTTTTGATCAATTTTTGTTAGTTTTTAACTCTAATCCAATATATTTCATTATTTTGAAATCACTATAAAATGAGTTTTTTACATCTTATATCAATAGTTAATGACTTTAAGACTAATTGATTTTAAATGTCTATAAAATTATTTTTAACCAATACCTAAACTAACTAAATAAAAAATATTTACAATTATTAAATGAAATGATTATAAAAAAAAAATTGTGCCATAAAGAAAAATTATTTTTGAGCTAATGATACAACACTTTACAGCTAACTAAATAAAATTATTTACAATTAAGTATTAAATGAAATGATTATAAAAAAAAGGGCAAATTACATATACCCCCTCAAGGTTTGGCTAAATTACAAATACCCCCCTGAGGTTTGAGAAATTATAAATTTTCCCCTGAATGCTATATTTGCATAACAAATTAGGGAGTAATTTGTTATGAAATTTAAACCTTAGGGGGCAAATTGTTATGAAAATACAAACCTTAGGGGGCGGGATGTAATTTCCGAAACCTCAAAGGGTATCTGTAATTTAGCCAAACTTCAAGGGAGGTATATGTAATTTGCCCAAAAATAAAATTTGTGCCATAAGCAAAAATTATTTTTGAGATTTTTTTTAAAGACATTTTTTAGACAACACATTATAGTGACAATATAAAACTATTTACAATTAAATATTAAATGAAATGACTATAAAAATAACTACCACTGTTTAAATATTTTTTTATTTTACATGCTAATGTAATGAAATAAAAATTTAAAAATAAATTATAAACAAAAAAAATTCATACAAGATTTTTTTTTTGACCTTGAATCACTTGAGTATTCGTTCTTTTTTAGTAAGATTTTCTTTTTTTTGGAAGCTATTCAGAATATTGTAACGATGTGTAACATGCCATTACGGTACCGCTACGGCCGCTACGTAACACCGAAACAGCAGTTATACATGTGAAGTTCTGTCGCACCGCAAAAGCGGGTGCAACAGGTAGCGCTTAGCATCGCAACCGTTATGTAACAGCGTTTTTTGAAACCATGAGCTAATTAATGAGATTATTGCAATTAAGAGTTAATTGTGATATAACTTGTTCATTGTAACGTACTTATCAAAAAACAATAAAAAAAACATCTTTGTTATAAGATTAGGAAGATCATCAATCCTTGTGGAACAAGATAGACTTGGTCCTCAAATATGAGAGCTATTGTAAGAGCTAGCACTCCGGAGATTGACATCTGCCTCTCATTGTCTCTCTAGAATACTTGTGAGCTTGACAATGCCCTTGTTATAAGACTTTTAGAGGTCGGATGCTTGAACTACTTTTGAATTGGAGTGAACTCAAAAATCAAGCAGGGAATTGAATTTTGTGTTTGAGGTATTGTTCAAACTATTTCTATGGATGTTTGTATCTATGTTTCATATATATCACAAATATAATCATGGGGATTGGGAATCAAAATAAATTTTAAATTCCTTTATGCCTAGCCTAGGTACGCAATTTCCAACAGCTCCTCCATGCTTGCATTTCGATGGAGTAACATAGGCAATCTTTTGAAGGACTGAACTTGCCTGATCTGGCATTAAAACATGCTGATGTGAGATCCCCATATTTGGTTAGCGGGGATTAGGGAAAATCCTCCTTCCATATTGATTTTTCTGTTTGGAATTTGGGTGGAATGAGTCTACAGCCGACAGGCTTGTTTTGCTTGCTAATATACATCTACATCCTATCCTATGTACATGGTTGCACCCATTTGATGCATTTTCCTGACAGAACATTACTTATTAAAGAAGTCAAGAAAAAGAAAAAGTATCTACCTTGAGTGAGAACGGACAGTCTAACCGTCTGTCCAGTTCCCTTGGGTAAATTCACCTATCATGAAAGAATTAGAACAATAGCAGAAACTAATTGTAGTCCATGAGATTGCTACCATATTTCTCATTACAATTAATCAAAAGCAGGGAAAACTCACTGTTGCCCTCAGCTGTTGATCATTGTATTTTGGGTCAATGTTGAGACGGAAATGAGCTTCAGCTTTTTCGACAAACTTTGTGCTTGCCATTTGCTTGAGCAATGATATTTCTGTTTTTAAGTCATACACTTTCTTGTTTTCCCTCAATTTTTGAATTTCCGAGAATCTCTTAGACCTCCTCTAATAATCCCAACAAAAGGAGGATAAGGAGTAAGTTAAAAACACAGCAACAACATGAATGTGAAAGTAGGAGACAGGAATGTGAAAGTATGGGGGTAGACAACTTAAACAAACAAAAGAGGAGGCAAGACCAGCAACCACAGAAACAAATATCACGTTCAGGATTCATGCAAAGAAAATTTCTGATTTAAAAAGGCAATATATGTCAAGAATTTTTAAACGTGAGGCCTTCTAGCTCTTGTTCTATAACAATTTACAATTTATGATAATTTGAAACACAAGGGCTTTTAATCATTTTGAATAATTTGAGAATTCAGATAAAATTGCAGAATTATTGTTAATATTCAAGACCCAATTATATAAAAAGCATTCTTCTCAAATAAGTATGAACTATGACACAAAAAGGTGTTCTCAAAACTTGAGAATGAACTAATACTCTACTGCAACCACAACCTGTATAGCCAAACTTAAATAAATAAATAAAGGGCAAAACCACTAGATATAGCCAAAGTTTGTAGATTATCAAAAGATGAAGAAATGAAGAAACAAAAATATGACATACAGTCTTTTTCAGACGCTACAATGGAGGATTCTAAGGGATTGAAGTGCTCATCATTAAGATAAAACTCAAGCAAAAACAAGTAAATAAATTACTATAATACACCCACAATACATGGTTTCAATCTCTCATATTGGTTTCCTATAACTAAAACTGCAAAATAAACAGAAATCTAACAAAATTCAATATGTGATTCACTACACACATCCACAATCCAAGAAAAACAAAATAAATACCAATTAAAGTAGATCTTAATTAGCACAATCAATCCCCAACTCAAGTATAAGATTCTTGAAACTAAAAATTTTACAATCACAGTTACAATAAATGTGAAAATCAAAGAAATCCAACAAATAAAATCACTAATGTGTCCACAATTGAAGAGAAAGGGAAATAAGGAATGAGATTACACATACTCTGTCACTCTTGATAACGCTAGGGATAGGTTGTGTACGCATAACTACTTTCTCTCTCGTCTCTCTCTAAAAGATGATAACGTTAGGGATAGGTTGTGTACGCATAAATTTTTTTTTTTAATTAAATACCCTAATGAGAATTTTTTATTGGAAATTTATTAATAAATCCTACTTGACTTATCCATCATTTAGTTCTGTAAATATTTTTATAACTCATCAGTCTTATTTCATATTAAAATCACTTAAATAATGTGTACTTACCTAAACATAATAAGATAATAGTGCACATATTAAAATAATGTCTCATTGTCACATTTTAAAAATGACACATTTGTCAAAAAATTTAATAAAACAATAGTGCATAAATATATCATTGTCACGTTTTGAAAAGAATGACATACCTGGAAAAATTTTAATAAGACAATAGTAGACGCATTAGAATGATGTTCCATTATCACATTTTAAGAATAATATATTTGACAAAAGTTTAATAAGACAATAGTGCACAAATGTCCCATTGTTACATTTTAAGAAAAATGACATATTTAACAAAAGTTTAATAGACAAATAATGTATATATTAAAATGATGTCACATCGTCACATTTTAAAAATGACACATTTGACAAAAATTTAATAAGACATAGTACACAAATAAAGCCTATTCACATTTGAAATATTCAAAAAATATAGTGAAGGGATCTCACAATATACTTTTTCAAATTCAATGGAACTTAATAGTTTACAAGAAAATTCATAAGACTTTCTGGTACAAACTTTTTTGGGATGGGACTTTTGAATAAATTTCTCCTTCTTTTTTTTAATAGAATTAATTTAAAAAATAAAATTTTTAAATTTTTTACATAATTTAGTAATTTTTTTTTAATTTTTATATGCACCTAACAAGTAAATTTTTGTGAAGAACTTTTAAAAAAAAACATTAAAGGTAAAAAAAAAAAATTTGGTATATTTTCATATTTTTCGTCTTTAGGAATTCCTTTATTTTATTTTTCATAAATATTTAATTTTTAGATGCATCTAAATTAGATATACTTACAACGTAAAAAAATTTAAATAGGTTTATTAAAAAAAAAAAACTTAAATAGTTTTTAAAAACAAAACCAAACATATTGATAATGTCATTTTAGGCATTTGAGATGTTATGTGTAAGTCAAATGTCTAAATAATAGATTCTTAACAAAATATTTTCATTGATGTAAAACTTATAATTTAAAATGGCAATGTATCATTTTTCAGTTGAAGGTGTAAAGTGATATTGGATGATAGTCTAAAATGTAATTTATCCGATGAAAGGGTATTTTCATTATAAAGGTCTAAATTGAAAAGAAAAATAAATAAATAAATAAATAAATAGATTAGGGGAGTTGGGTGCAACAAATTTTAGCTACGTGGGTTATATAGAACAATTGTTGAGGGATTATAATTTATCCAAAAAATATTAATTGAAAATGACCTTTCTTATTGTGATAATTTAGGGTGTCTGAGCCAGTTTGTGTGCATCTCGAGTAATTCGTGGGAGACTAATCCCACCGTCCACCAACAGGGGCCCAACTAAAGTCAGAGCAGAGTTTCGTATGAACTGACCCAACACAAGAATTAAAAATGACTTTAATACATAGTTAATAAATGAATGCAAAATGATGTGAATTGAAAATGATGTGAATTGAAAATTTTTTGGTGTGCAAATGGAAGCTCTCTTCAAATTCCAAGTAAAATGACTTTAATACCCTTTTGGCCCTTTGCCTTTTTTTTCTTTTTTGCTTCTCTTATTTTTTTCCTTTTTTTATCAAAAAAAAATTATATATTAAACAAATAATTTCTAATTAAAACAACATTAATTTCCCACGAGAAGAATAAATAAATTCAATTAAATAACAAATTAACCTTATATTTTTAATTATTTATTTGAATTCCAAGTTTAATAAATTGCCTTGCCAACCCTCTACAGGCATAGTGAAAGATAAGCTTATTTGACATTATAACAAGGATGGTGTATTTATCGTAAAGTTTGGGTATGAGGTGGCATTAATATTGAAGTGTAATTGCATGTTGGGAAGCGGGGGAAAAGGTGAATGAATGTTGTTATTAGCATTTCATTTATTATTTGAATTCTTCATTTTTATAGACCTCCATTTATAAATTTCAAAATCCTTAAAATTTCTCTCACCTCCCAATAATGCCAAAATTATCTCTTTAAAAGTTTCACACCTACTAAAATGGGCATCCCTTAGCACACCCTTAAAAATCATTGATCTTCCAAAACCTAAAAAGTTCAAATTTGAACTTCATCGTAGAGATCTCTTCTCACTCTTACGGTAGTATCTTTGTTGCTCTCTCTCTCACGACGAATCTCATAGAAAGAAAGACAAGTTTCGCAAGTGAAGAAAAGCTTCTCTGTTGATTTGAAGCCCATCTTCACAAGTAGTATCTCTCTCTCCCTCCCTCCCTCTTTCGATCCATCAAATTTTAAAGAAATTCACTTGTTCGGACCTATGTTTCTGAACAAATAACCTATGTTCGGACCTGTGTTGCCGAACATATGACTGAGGTTCGGCCCTATGTTCCCGAATCTTAGAAAACGTGAACTTTTGCGTATGTGCACAAGTTTGACCCTTCAAAATTTAAGAAATTCCCTTGTTTGGACCTGTGTTCCCGAACAAATAACTTATGTTTAGGCTTGTGTTGCTGAACAAATGATTGATGTTCGGCCTTGCGTTGCTGAACCTTAGGAAATGTAAACTCTTGTGTATTTTTGAAGTTAAACCGTTTTCACCATCTTTGTCCGTATTTTTGAAAAAACTTACCATTACTATAGCGATCCCGGGTTTACCCTTGTTGTACAGTGATCCGGACATGTGTCCGTGGATGTTGGTAGATGATTAATATCTTGTTTGCATCCTTTTTACTTTGTATATTGAGTTATAGGATGTGTTGGGCAGGTTTGTTACAGGTTGGTTGTGTTTGGGAGCCTAGTGTTGCTGCCCAGATTTTTGGACCTTCGCTCGAGCCAGTAGTTGGTCGCTCGAGCGAGAGTTGAGTTCTTGTCTGGTGGGTCGAGCCAGAGTGGCTTCGCTCGAGCGAGCGCTTGTACCTGGTTCTGGACCTGAGAGTTGCATTTCTTGGCTCGAGCGAGCTTTCTTTCGCTCGAGCGGTCTGGTTGTTCTTCGCTCGAGCGAGCAGTCTGTCGCTCGAGCGTGCTTCTGGTTGCAGACCTGAGGGTTTGTGTTGTTGGCTCGAGCGAGAGTTCTTTCGCTCGAGCGCACTTTTGAGTTTTCGGCTCGAGCGAGAACTTCTTAGCTCGAGCGAGAGTTTTCTGTGTCTGGTCGCTTGAGCGACCAAGTCTTCGCTCGAACGAGCGTGTTTTATATCAGCGGACAGTAGTGATTTTGAACTTCAGTTTTTCACTTCTTTTTTTTGATCAAACCCTAGATCCGAGACTCTCTCTCTCTAAACTTACATTCTCTCTAAGATTTGATCTCCCTAGAGTGTGAATCTAACCTAGGGCCTTTGTTAAAAAGATAGAAGGTGTTGAGAGCTTCGATTTAATCTAAAAAAGTTTGGATTTGGAGCACATTGATCTTCGAGTCTTCATCTCCTTTTTGGCTCAAACTTCGAGGTAGGGATATCCTACTCCTCTCTATGGATTTTGTCTTTAAATTTCAGTATTTTTAGATGTTGGGGTTGGTTTGATAATTTGGTAAAAGTTTGGGGCTTTTATGTTATTTTATAAAAGTTGGGGTTTTATTCATAATAAACCTAAATGCATGTTTGGCATAGAGAAATGGAATAAATGTTGAATCATTGATGAAAATGGGACCTAAGGGTTGAAATGTTAATTATGGATAATGACCTAATTACATTGTTTGATTAATTGGGATAATTAATTGTGAGAAATGAGGAAATGAAATGTTGATTTAATAATCCATTGTGCATTTATTTTCTGTTTAGAAATAACTGCTTTGGGCTATCGGTGGAGGATAGTCGTGATTGTTGTAGACAATGCATGATGATTAGGCAAACTAAAACTAATCAATGGAATGTGTCATGGAATTTGACGGTTGATAGAATACATTAACTATATGTATTGAGTGATTGTATATAGAGCCAATGTGTTTGTATACGTTATGTGTAGAGGAGGAGATGGGGGATGTACTCCGCGGTTTAGGGGAAGATGGGGGATGTACCTCTAAACCGGGTAGTGTTGGGAGAAGAAAGGGGATGAACTCCGTAGATACAGCTCATATGCTTATCTGTTGAGAATGTGGATATAGCTTATATGCTTATCTGTGAATGTGGGATATTGTTGTTATACATATCTGTGGAGGTAATGATAGAGCTAATATGCTTATCTGTTGAAAAAGGGAAAATGAAAGGTAACTTGGACTCATAAGTCGTATGACATAAATATGTAATTTATGTGAATGTATCAGTGTTGGCCATCTATCAATTGCTAATCTTTTAGTCATTGTTCATGATTGGTTTAGTGTATCTCTTCTGGGCTGTGGCTCACCCTATATGGGAATATCATTTTCAGGTACAGGTAGCATGCCACCTCCAAGGACGTAGCTTGGGAGGCTAGAGGCGGACATACTTTTGTCGCTTTATTTTTGATGTATTACATGTAAATTCAAGCCAAGGGCTTAATGTGTAGATGAGTTAGCACTCTTTTGTTGTAACCAAGTGTTAATAACTTATGTTTAAGCTTGTGTTGCTGAACAAATGATTGATGTTCGGCCTTGCGTTGCTGAACCTTAGGAAATGTAAACTCTTGTGTATTTTTGAAGTTAAACCGTTTTCACCATCTTTGTCCATATTTTTGAAAAAACTTACCATTACAAGGCCAACGTTCTCCGAGTTGCAAACATTATCCAAGCTATGAATCTCCTCTAACTTACATTGCTGTACTCCATTCGTCTCATGGAATTGTGGTTAGTAGAAAAACTTTCACTCATTACTATTGCCGGAGAAGTGTATATAGTCGAATGGTTGCCACCGTTGTCGTCAGAATATTGCCGTTAGAGGGTTCTTCAGTTTTTTAGAGTGGACAAGTTCTGAAGGTTTTGAAGTGTATGGGTGGTGATGGACGTGGGTGTTCTCATAA